GTTTGTGATATATTACCTCTTAAATTCTTATGATATTGTCCTCAAGTTTCCTAAGGTGTTGTCACTCCAAGATGTTAACCAACTCGGTAGACATTGTACCTTGGAATCACGTGAGCGCAGCGGTTAGATAGACACAACGTCCTACTTTGATCTTAATGGTCAAATGGTCATATTGAAATAAGTGAACGATATGTAAAGTAGTAAGTCAACTATATATGATATAGAAATAGATTATATTAATATCTTAGACCCAATTATAAGGAATCATATAGCAGAATTACTTTTATCCGTATATATATGGGGTAAAAATTATATATTGCCAAAGTATAAAAAAAAAGTGAGACTCAATTGCAGGATTTAAATAATGGTTCATTAGTGTAAATTATGTGAATGAATTAAAGAAAGAGAGAGCTAAAAGAAAGATTCAGCCACAGTTAAAAGAAAGGCAATAGGGGCTTAAAGAAAGACGGGACACAGCTGACCTCGGTATTGGAGAACGGAAACTAATGGAGAAAATGAGAGAGTTTAGTGACCCGACTCATTATTGATGATATCCACCTTCACAACCCTTCGATTCTGTACCAATAACTAACATCTGCAAATTAATACGTTGGATATATAGAGTAACCAATGTAGCCTAGCCTAGCCTAGCCTAACCTAACCTAACCTAACCACAACTCCCCCCCCCTCAACCCACATAGTATGGCCAGGAGAGCTCGTCTGTAACTGCGGTCAAACACCTGGTAATCATTGACCTCTATAACAACACAAGAGGTTGAAGGTGACCCAGAACACATCCAGTACAACACACACACACACACACACACACACACACACACACACACACACACACACACGCACACACTACTTGTTGTTATTGTGGACATAAACAAGTATCATGGACCTCCCGATACTAACTACTGTCGACCCTGGAAAGTTAACACCAATTTGACCCTGGAATTTATCTTACGCATTACGATCGATATAACGAATCTTTCACTGCCACTTTATCTGTTTTATTTTAGAGTGTAAGGATGGACGGAAGGATGGTCGGAAGGATGGTCGGAAGGATGGTCGGAAGGATGGTTGGAAGGATGGTCGGAAGGATGGACGGAAGGATGGTTGGAAGGATGGTCGGCAGGAAAGACACATAAGCCTGAGAAAAATACTTAACTAATATCGCCTAAAAACCTTTGTTACTTTTAAAACCATGATGAAGCAAAACAAAAACCAACAAACTCCCTTTACACGTTATCTGCTGCAACAAGGAAATGCAATAACAGCGATGCAATCTTCTTTTTTTTACTGGGTATTCACGGGACAAATGAGGTTTAACCACACACACACACACACACACACACATACACACACACAAACACACACACACGGTTGGTTGCAATATCCTGCCTCGTTCCAGTTGCAGCTCGGTCTTGCAATGTAACCAACATGCACTGCTTGGCCCACGCGTGCCTGATAGCAGGAGCGGACAGGTCACTAGTCGGCTTTAAGAACATGGTATTACAGGTGCTGGTATAGGTGTATGTGTCCTCGTAGGTGTATGTGTCCTCGCAGATAGGTGTATGTGTCCTCGTAGATAGGTGTATGTGTCTTCGTAGATAGGTGTATGTGTCCTCGTAGGTAGGTGTACGTGTCCTCGTAGGTAGGTGTATGTGTCCTCGTAGATAGGTGTATGTGTCCTCGTAGGTGTATGTGTCCTCGCAGATAGGTGTAGGTGTCCTCGTAGGTGTATGTGTCCTCGCAGTTCCATGTATCATTGTTGGGTTACAAGAGTGACCTCCTACCACCGTTTGTTTACAGTGAGAGTCAGAAAAGTAATGGCTGCTGAGAACAGTGTTGTATGTTTGGTACTGAATACACACTACCCTTAATTAGCCGCCAGGTGTATGGAACTCTTTGTTACCTGTGTATTATGCTAAACAAAGAGGATAGTGACTGTATTACACCTTAAATTTATTCTTATATTCAATGGGATATAATTAAAGAGTGTTTGCGTTTCCTGGGTATTATGCATTGTGGTGTGTGTGTGTTCTCATGGCGACGAGGATGGTTCACCTATAAATGAATATATGTGGGAATTTTAGCTGTTATGACTTTGTGAATATGCAGGAGGATTAACGAGGTATAAAACCCACATATGGAGTGTTTAATAATTCTGAGAAAACACACACTCTCTCTCTCTCTCTCTCTCTCTCTCTCTCTCTCTCCTAGTACCCACAAGTACACCATCAGACAAACATATATTTTTACCTCAAGTTCACGGCAAAGGTTTTCATCTTATCTTCAGAACAGTGTATGTCGTCAGAGGCAAGAGGGATTACCCAATCTTCACCTTCCAAATTAAACCCTAATCTCTGTACCTCTGCTAATCCTTTTACAATCGGATCAGAATCTTCTGCTCATCCATCACACTCGCTTCACTGCTCCTGGATACAAGTTTCTATTCGGGAGGAAATTTGTAGTTTTCTCAATCTCGTTCTCTTATATTTTATTTTTTTATTTTTAGCCTATTTTTGAGGAGATCCGTTTGAACTATTTTTGTGGTCTCTCTCACCTATCGCTGCTCCCTTCATTATATCATAAGGTTCATTAATCCTTGTTGTGACCTTTCCTCTCAACATTCTTTGAAGGTACAGACGCAAAGGCTGAAACTAGGACGTGTATGTCTGTGTATCTGTGTATGTGTGTCTCTGTGTGTAGACGTTAATAGCACTGCGAGTCCTTAAATTTTGATATTAACGCTAATTAGATCCAATTATGTATTATAAATAAGAATTAAAGACTTTCAACTTGCTTCACCTCAAAGTCTTACCTGTTAAATTAACGTATACCTGGGCCAGATAGCTCCCCCCCCCCCTCACTGTGGCATCTTGAAAGACACTAAATAATTGAATTTCCACGAATATAAGTGAATTTTCCCAGTTGTATTTGGATAGATTCACTTTTTGTTGATTGTATTTGTTTGGGCTACCATTCCTTGGGTAGTGTGTTTGTCTGACCCTTAGAGAACGATTGTGTTTGTGCTGATGGAATGGGTTTGTTTAGTTGTTTATGGAATGGTTTTATCGTCGTGTTAGTGGAATGGGTTGGTTTATGTACAGATGGAAGGGGATTTAATTGGTTTTAGTTTCTGTTTTCGTCTGTCTGTGTCTGTCAGTCTGTCTGTCTGTCCGTCAGTCTGTCTGTCTGTCCGTCTGTCTGTCTGTCCTTTCCTATCTCTCTCTCCCTCCTCCATCTCTGTCTACATGCCCCCCCCTCCCCACTCTCTACATTACAATAAAGCAAATATCCACCACATGTTGCAGACTACATAAGGAAGGCGACCAGAAGCAACACTGAGGAGGGTGGTGGTGTCGTCAGGGAAGGGTCGGACCAGCAGGTGTCATGTGTCATAGGAAAGGAAAGGGTTAAGTTGTGTCATATATAGGGGAGCTAGTGACAGGCAGATGTGACCAGACGCGAGCGCGCGCGCGCGCGTGTGTGTGTGTGTGTGTGTGTGTGTGTGTGTGTGTGTGTGTGTGTGGGTGTGTGTGTGTTATCCTTCTCCATAAAACATGAGGGAAGGGGAAGCTCTTCATCAAAGGTGTGTTATCAGAAAGGTACAAGAGACAGTGGGGTGACTTACACTCAAGTTAATTAATAAGATCAGACTCTCACCTTCCCTTACCTGCGGCGGTGTCCCACAGGTGAAGGTTGGCGATGATTACAGCTTTGAAAGGATTGTAACCATTGTGTTTTTAGGTAACTTTAAAAATACTTAAGTTTACCCTTTATAATAATGATTGTTGTGGTAATAGTTGTTAATGTGGTTGTGGTTGTTGTTGTATTACATTTTTGGGGGGTAAAATTGGTTGTTGAGGGAAATAATAGTTGTTGTGATGATGGTTATATGTTGTGGTAATTGCTGATGCTCTGATTGTAATTGTTGTTGTGAAAATAGTTATTCGTACTGTTACGGGTCGCGAATGGGATATGCTGACGGAGTCGCCCCTTGTGAGCATGTATGATTATGCGGCGAATATCCTGACTTGGGTCCAACGATTGACAACCGTAACAAAGTTAACTGGTCACAGAAGTTCACAACACTTCCACAACAAACACAGGACCCGAATAGATAACCCTCTCCTCAGGTGACAGTAAAGGGGCAATAAAATTATGTCATTTACTAACAACAAAACACAAAGAAATATAAACACGGTGCACATAGAATAATAAGAACCTAACTCCTAACACACAAAATAATCAACTAAATCCTAACCAAACCTACGAACAAATCTAACCTAAACAACATACGGGAAAAGGGGAACACAATGGCGGGAAGTGGGAACGTGGAATTGTACTTAAGGTCTGATGGTCCCGAGATAGCAGAGGAGGTCCAGCCGTCCTGGTCCTCGTGAGAAGTAAGTCAAGTTGTACTGCACATATCCCAGAGGAGTAGTCCAGCCTTGGGAATAGGAGTAACCAGCCAGGGCACTAGCTGAAGGTGTACTACCTGCACTCGGGCAGGAGAAGTCGTTTAGGCTCTGGTATAAGACTATTGAGTAGGTAAAGCAACTGAGAACCGTAGTCTAGGTAGGAGGTGAAACTGCAAGTATGGGCACAAAAGTGACGAATCACCCTCCTAGATGACGTGGACAGGTTGGTTGACGGCAAAGTGCAGATTTGTGACGAGACTACGGCCCGATGAAGGTCAGGCCTTAACAGTACATTAATGGTTGTTGATATATTGACTGCCATTGTAACAGAACTAGACGTCACTCGCCCGACACACTGAGCTTCCATAGATAACACCATAACGTCACTCGTAAAGTTGTTAGTGTGGCTGTGACGTCATTGAACTAGGTCGTTTACGCTGGTTCAGTCATTAAGGTTCCTGGCGTTAAGATTTACGACCTGTTGGTAACGAGCGACTCATTGCAGGTGAAGGAAAAATAACTTCATGACTTCTGCTGGAGGAGGAGGACCTATGTGAGGAGGACGACATGTGTGAGGAGGACGACCTGTGTGAGGAGGACGACCTGTGTGAGGAGGACGACCTGTGTGAGGAGGACGACCTATGTGAGGAAGACGACCTGTGTGAGGAGAACGACCTGTGTGAGGAGGACGACCTATGTGAGGAGCACGACCTATGTGAGGAGGACGACCTATGTGAGGAGGACGACCTGTGTGAGGAGGACGACCTGTGTGAGGAGGACGACCTGAGTGAGGAGGCCGACCAATGTGTGAGGAGGCACGACCTAAGGGAGGAGGACGACCTGTGAGGAGGGCGACTCTATGTGAGGAGGAGGACGACCCAGGTGGGAGGAGGACGACTCAGGAGGAGGACGACCTGTGTGAGAGGTCGACCCAATGTGAGGAGTACGACCTATGTGGGAGGAAGTGACGACTCTATGGGAGGAGGACGACCTGTGAGGGGAGGACGACTCCAGGAGGAGGCCGACCAATGTGAGGAGGGACAATCGCAGGAGGATTTATTCTTGAGTGAGGAGAAGCCCACCAATGGAGGAGTACGACCTATGTGAGGAGTGGGACGACGGATGGAGGAGTGGACGACCCATGTGGGAGGAGGACGACTCTGTGAGGAGGTCGACCATCGTGAGAGGTCGACCAATGTGAGGAGGACGACCCAGGTGGAGGGAGAGAGATTTATTCTGAGTGAGGAGGTCGACCAATGTGAGGAGCACGACCTATGTGAGGAGGACGATCTATGTGAGGAGGTGACGACCTGTGTGGAGGAGGACGACCCGTGTGAGGAGGACGACCTATGTGAGGAGCACGACCTATGTGAGGAGCACGACCTATGAGGAGCACGACCTATGTGAGGAGCACGACCTATGTGAGGAGGACGACCTGTGTGAGGAGGACGACCTGTGTGAGGAGGACGACCCGTGTGAGGAGGACGACCTGTGTGAGGAGGACGACCTGTGTGAGGAGGACGACCCGTGTGAGGAGGACGATCCATGTGAGGAGCACAACCCGTGTGAGGAGGACGACCTGTGTGAGGAGGACGACCTGTGTGAGGAGGACGACCTGTGTGAGGAGGACGACCTGTGTGTGGAGGACGACCTGTGTGAGGAGGACGACCTATGTGTGGAGGACGACCTGTGTGTGTGGAGGACGACCTGTGTGTAGTGTCAGTCACATCTCCCTCAACACTCCCTACACAGCTGTTACTCACTGCATCTATAATTATCATATAACTATCTATCAATTTTCACAATATTATACATAACAAACGCGTATAACATCCAGTAGGTCCAAAGGCTACGGTAAAAATCACATCTGATATAACAGTTGACTCCTGACCATAGTGTAGAGTGTCAACTGACGCACAACACAAGTAAAGGTTTAACCCGCTGTTGTGTTGTTTGTTTGTCGGAACACAACACAAAATAATCTCTATTGAAAGAGCTTTTAACAGCACGTGTTTGTTCATCTCTTAAGTCAACATTGTGTGTGACCTGTAAACTAAGTGTCAGAGAACAGTGATTCCTACACGTGTGTTAGTGTGTGTGTGTGTGTGTGTATGTGTGTGTGTGTGTGTGTGTGTTAGTGTGTGTGTGTGTGTGTGTGTGTGTGTGTCTATCTTCTCCACACGCACACACAATAACACAATGGCGAGTTATAATAGGAGGAGAAGCGACACGATTTCTAACTTAGCCAGATTAAGAAAATACTTTTTATCGCTTCCTGGCTTAAAGACTGGAGGACCGTAGTGACCACATTGTAGTGTGGGTGTCTGTCTGTCTGTATGTCTATGTCTCTCAACTATTTCTTATTCTCTCCCATTACTGCTTTACACCCTACTTAAATACTATATATTATTCATACTTTTTTAATTTCCTTACATTACTTTTCAATTCATTTTTTCTTAAGATTTTCCTTGAGTCGTAAGTAATTTTTACCCCATCTTCAGAAACTTTTCGTTCGTGTTTCTAAAAACCAACATTTACTCTATATATTTTCTTCCTCTTTTTTTTATCTATATTTGGCTTTAGTTAAGTTCTTTATTTTATTGTGGTTTAATTGGAGTCTATGCTAATGATGATGGTAGAAGCTTAATGTCAGCAATACAACTCACTCGCTCGCTCACTCACTCACTCACTCACTCACTCACTCACTCGCTCACTCAGTATACTCCTCGACGTGTAGGAATATAGCCTCGAGTTCTTTCCTTACCAAATTAACATTGTTTGAATCGTTCATATAATTGAAACATTGTTGACTTCGCTCTGGGCTGTCAGAAGCATCATAACATAACATAGCATAATATAACAGAATATAACATATAACACAACATACGACACAACATAAGGCACAACATACGATACGACATGACACGACGCAACACAACACAACACAACACAACACAACACATAGTTTGTCTCGGAGAAAATCTGTGTCGTGAGTAATATTATGTTGAGAAGTATTCTGCTTCCTCATAGTTTGGCTTACTCACATTCTCTGCATATTAATGTTTTACAAAATGACTAATACCCAACTTTACTGTGTGTGTGTGTGTGTGTGTGTGTGTGTGTGTGTTGGCAGTCCTGGTGTGTCTGGGTGGAGAATCCTGGAGGACCTTTTATTAATTATCTACTGAAGGAGGAAAAAATTGGGTACAAAAATAGAACTTGGGTTTGGAGTGAGTTTGGAGGCAGCGTGGGGGGGTGGGGGGTGGGGGGTGGGGGGGGGGGTGGGGGGTGGGGGTGCATCCTGGGTGATGAATAGTAGCATGTGGTACAATAGTGACACACACACACACACACACACCTCTCTCTAAAGAGAGAGAGAGAGAGAGAGAGAACCTGATTTCCCCATGGTGTGTGACCTATGAGACACCCTGTACATTTTTACTTCAGTCTCACGTATCAGAATTCTAACAATTTTACCTCCAGTTTGTACCGCCTTACAGAGCTCCTACTACAAATATGAATTTTTACACCAAGGAAAAAAATATCCAATATGGTTTGTAAATATACGTGGACCTCCAGACAGAAAACCTCTCAAAACCAGCCTCTACCCTCTCCACCACCACCCTCCCATCTACCCTTTCTTCTCCTGTCCTCTCCCCACTACCCTCTTCTCCCCTTCCCCACCACCTCCCATCTGTCTTCTCACTATCACTCTCCCCACCACCCTCTTCTCCACCTCTCTACCTTTCTCCTCTCTCCCCTCTCTCCCCACTACCTCTCCCCACTCCCTCCCATCTACCCTTTCTTCTCCACTATCCTCTCCCCCACTACCCTCTCCCCCACCACCCTCTCCACTATTCTCTCCTCCGCAATAGCATTAAGTATTCTATTTCCTTCTCTTACTCCTTCACAAACCATAAACATGAGAATGGAGACTCGTGTGTTATTTTAAACCAAGCAACATTGATACGGGAACAAATGAACCAACACATATACGGATGCCAACAGCGAGTGAAGCCCCTTCTGTTGGACATGCGTCTCCCCCCCGACACATAACCTGGAACTCGTCAGATATGGGTCACGCAACACACTTTATAATATTTTGTAATCATTGTTTACCCGGGATACTGTAGCCGTGTGGATACAACGTTCGTCTCCTGTCACAAGGGTCGTTGGTCTGAGTGTAGGGCACCCCGATCTACCCAGCTGTTAATGGGTACCTGACATTGAAGTTGAGTGAATGAGAGGAGTCGAGTACAGTGCCATTTACAGTTCCTCCTTATGCGCGCACACACACACACACACACACACACACACACACACCAATATTTCCCCTATACACAAGAGAAATTTGGCGTAAAATACTAAATTGGGGGATGAGTTGAGATATTTTACTGCGGTGTTCTCCTGACAGGCGTGTAATGAGAGAGGACGCCTCGGCAACCCTGAAATTGGTTTCTGAATTTCCCCCAAACAGTATCAGTGAACATGACGTGTTGTTGATTCCAGGTGACGAAGATAATGATCACCTGTTGTCTATTACAGGTGACGTGCTTGATAATGCTCACTTGCTGTTGATTACATGTGACGAGGATAATGCTCACCTGTTGCTGATGACACGTGACGCGGTTGATTACACCCACCTGTGATATGTCAGACTAAAGCAACAACTCTCTAACGCAAAACACTTAATCAGGCGATATAAAGACGTCACCTTCAGACGTCTCTAAAATTCCCAGAATGTCTTTACGAAGAGAGGCGCCGCCAGTAATACTTCCTAGAAAGACAACGGCTCAAAGGAAAATTGCCAGAGAAAGTCTACTCAAGGAAAGGAGTGAGATCCTTGCTGGAGTAAAGGCTTCCTGGAAGTTGGTCGCCCATCGTCAACATCAGAGGTAGAGGAGGCGGTCACTTATACCTTACACGAAGTATTTTTTTTTTGTGATTATAAGAAGGAAATGTAATGAAAAAAAAAGTGAAATATTAAGAATGTTTGAATAAAAACCAGGATTACATATGTTTGTTTTTACGATATACACACACACATACATACATATATATATATATATATATATATATATATATATATATATATATATATATATATATATATATATATATATATATATATATATATATATATATATATATATATATATATATATATATATATCAGGAAAATAATTGACAATAAACGATAATGCAAGTCACGCTCTGTTCCCGTCTGAGCGATAGTGAGAAATATTTCTTGGTGACACACTAAAACACGATAGAGTTATAGACAACGAGGATAAATTCATTTATGTTAAGTCGGGTTCAATGCGCCTCGACAGCTAGATACGTGAAGACAAAAATATAAGCTTTCTATTACAACACTGAAATAGTAATAAACTGCTCTATCATAATGCAAAACGATATCGTATTAGCTGCTGAAACAATTTTGACTCATTGTTATCCTGAATTAATGATTATTGATGGTTTAAAAACTTTCTGTCTTAGTGGTAATACATGAAAAGTTCCTCTGGTGACGCCACGCCTAGCACGAGTGGTTGTCAGCGCTGCCCGGTTTGTTGACGACACTTTGCATGATATGTATGAGTCAATATTGTTTTTTATATATCTTTTATGGACAGTAACAACAATAACAATAAAACAATACGTGACTGTAGTAGAACTTAAAGGTTTCGTATGGTGGTGCGAGTGAGAGGGACACACACACACACACACACACACACACACACACACACACACACACACACACACACACACACACACACACATTAGTTTAGATCAAGTCTGTTAAGTTGGTGTTGGGAGGAGACAGTTACTGTATGTGTGTCTGGTGTTATAAAGCGACTGTCGATACTTAGGCAGTAGTCTGGGTACTGTCATTACATCAATTAGCGAACTACTTGCTGCAGACACACGTGGATTTGATGTAAACAAAAAAATTGACTGAGAGATACAGTAATGTTGGCTGACGTGTTGGGAACGATCTGTACTCAGGCTGGTGAACACGAGAACATTTATAACCAGAATAACACTAAAATCTGTTATCATGGTGGTTATGAAAAGTGTTCTTCCTTTCAATTCGGTTTCAATTCAATTTACTCTGTTGTAGAGAGTGAAGTCATGAGGTTGTCTAAGTTTGTCATAACATCTGGGATTAATTCCTTTCTTGACTCTTCAGTAAAATATATCTCCCTAATTGTTCTTAATAATTTAGTTTTTACAACACTAAAATAATTCATTAATGGTGTGTGTATAAATGTATGTATGTATGTGTTCACCAGAATGTGTATATTACCGTATGTATCCACTAGGAAATGTGTTCACCAGAATGTGTATATTACCGTATGTATCCACTAGGAAATGTGTTCACCAGTATGTGTTTACCAGTATGTATGTATATATGTATATGTATCTACGTTAGGTTCCGCGTGCTTGTCTCTATGCATAATAAAAGCATCAGATTAGAATAATGTTGACTCGTGGTGCGTGCAGTGTGTTGGTGCAGTCAGAGATGAGGCGACCAGGAACCTCGTCTCGACACACCGATCTCTTTACTCATCCAGGATTGAGTTTACTAAGTGAGGTCGTGTGATCACCAGTGTGTGTGTGTGTGTGTGTGTCGTTTTTAGCTTTTACAAGGCTAACCTAACGTGCCGGCATACTCCCAGGGACAGTGTAGGTGCTGGGATCAAGAAGCAGTAGGTCACAGTGTTGGGTGGAGGGAGGCTTGATGTTACAGAGGCGCATTATCATAGACGGGTTTTTTCTTTCATTTTTTCAGTTTTTGTGGATTTTTTTTTAATTCTTTACACGAGGAGCCCTATATACCTACCCTTCTGTCACTCACTTGCTCACACTCACTCACTCACTCACTCACTCACACGCCAGGTATTCCCTCTACCGCTCGTTAATATTATCCCCCATTCATAATAAAACGAAAATAAAAGAAACGATCGATAAGTAAAGGACTTCAATGACCATTCCACGTACAGTTTTTATTTGGCTTTGTTAGTTTTCATATGAGATCAAAGGGTTTAGTTAGCCTTTCATGAGGTCAGTTTAGTTCTGACCGGGTAGATGTGATGAACCTACTGAGAAATATTTGAGACTTCTTCTCTATAATGTGAAGTGTATTGTTATCTGTCAGTTAGTCAGGCAGTCAGTCAGTCAGTCAGTTCAATCAGTCAGTCGATCAAAACTTCACGAAACAACAATAATCTCTGGGGTTAGGTTAGGTTAGGTCAGGTCCCCCATACGCCAGACGACCTATCAGGGACACTGCAGGTATAGACACAGAATACTAAGGTGGGCAATGGGGCTGGCACAACACTCACCCACCTTCGCTTCCCCTAATTTGACAACCATTCACAGGTGGAGGTGTACCAAGCTCAAACCAGGTAATTTTGGATCAAGATGTGAGCGCTGTATCCACTGGCCTGTAGCGCTATATTGTCTTAATGGGCCACACATTAACTAGAGTTATGTTGTGTGTGTAAGAGGTGTGTCCTCAGGTGAAGTTGTGTTATTGTTGTTGTTTTGTGTGTGGTCCAACTCTCACACGCACGAACATTACCATAACCATTAATGCCAACACACATTCTCCACCTCATGCCACCATCTACCACGGGTCTGGCAACACTCTTCATATACAAACTGTATATATATGTATTCTGTTCTATTTATTCCATACACAAAGCTTCAACAGTTACCTTATACTAAATACCCAAAAGTTGAAATATATAATGAATCTCATCTCGGAAAATTGCCTTTATTCATTATACACTAAATTTAATGTTTACTGAATATAGAAACATAAACTTAGGTGAGTGTGTTGACAGTAAAGGCTTAGTCCTGTGAGCTGCTGGTGATCCTTTAATTCTGTCGCAGGGTTTTTTGTTATTCCAAGGAGAATTATATATTTTACGCCGCTAATACACACAAGAGGTATTGTCAACTCAAAAACAACTATTGTAACAGCAGGTCTGACACACACACAGTGGAGGAGCTCAGTTGTTGGAGTGAAATGTGGAAAGGGAAGAAAAGAAGTTAAATAGATGTGCTATTCTATAACAGAAGGACTATTATTACTTAATATCCGCACAAAAACAAAAGCAACAGAACACGTACAAAAATATCCACAATGTTACATTATGCCGTTTATAATTTACATGTTTAATACCTTTTATAGTTACCTGTTGGAATTAATGCTGGATAATTATTATTTACCTGGATTATCTAACATATATACGACGTTACACCCAGGCTCTGAACACTACACCCAGGCTCTGTACACTATACCCAGGCTCTGTACACTACACCCAGGCTCTGAACACTACCCCCAATCTCTGAACACTACACCCAAGCTCTGAACACTACACGCAGGCTCTGAACACTACACCCAGGCTCTGAACACTACACCCAGGCTCTGAACACTACACCCAAGCTCTGAACACTACACCCAGGCTCTGTACACTACACCCAGGCTCTGAACACTACCCCCAATCTCTGAACACTCTGAACACTACACCCAGGCTCTGAACACTACACCCAGGCTCTGAACACTACACCCAGGCTCTGAACACTACACCCAAGCTCTGAACACTACACCCAGGCTCTGAACACTACACCCAGGCTCTGAACACTACACCCAGGCTCTGAACACTACACCCAGGCTCTGAACACTACACGCAGGCTCTGAACACTACACCCAGGCTCTGAACACTACACCCAGGCTCTGAACACTACACCCAGGCTCTGAACACTACACCCAGGCTCTGAACACTACACGCAGGCTCTGAACACTACACCCAGGCTCTGAACACTACACGCAGGCTCTGAACACTACACCCAGGCTCTGAACACTACACCCAGGCTCTGTACATAAACTCCACCAATATTTTATCTGGACCAAATTCAGGAAAAAGCTCATATTTAGTTTAATGTTTTGTGATCGTGTTGTTAATGCTCGTGAAATATCAATGGTATTCACGGACACATTTTCCACTGCGTGTGTAGCGCATGGTAGTTAATGTAATGTTAACAGGTAAAGTGACAGGTTAATGTTAACAGTGAGTTTATATGTTAACTTTACAGATGTAAATGAAGCGAAGCTTATGAAAATTATTTATTATATGTAAAGGATAATTTAGGAGATAATGAGGTAAATTTTCGTTTATAAATATTATATTTCAACAATCACGTGAGTCTGACCCGTGGCACCCACCAGGTCACGACCCGTGGCACCCACCAGGTCACGACTCGTGGCACACACCATGTCCTAACCCGTGGCACCCACCAGGTCGTGACCCGTGGCACCCACCAGGTCACGACTCGTGGCACACACCATGTCCTAACCCGTGGCACCCACCAGGTCCTGACCCGTGGCACCCACCAGGTCACGACCTGAGCATCACCACGGCCTCCCGTGTTTGCACAACACATACAGCGTATTACTGAACGTTAACGAGACCCAACAATCTATTACAAATTTATGATGATGTTGATCATTAATTAATAGTATTAATGATGGTGTGAGTCAACGGTGACCATGTGAGGCGAGTCAACGCTGACCATGTGAGGTGAGTCAACGCTGACCATGTGAGGTGAGTCAACGCTGACCACGTGAGGTGAGTCAACGGTGACTATGCGAGTCATTAAGCACATTAACGTCTTATATTATAAAAAATTTCCATAATAAAATAAACTTGACAACAGATAACATTTACTCATAAGTTTACTGGATAATTAAGGCAGCATCAGGGAGGGAAAGCTCTATGTTGAGACACTGAGAGAATAATAGTTGTTCTCTCCTCCTATCTCCTGTGTATGTGTGTTCTTCCTCCCTTCTTTACTTCCTCTCTACTCCATTTATCATCCTATTACTCTTT